AAAAAATAAAAAAGTATTTTAATTTCAATTTGATTCATAGTATTTAATTACTAATTCATCAAAATCAAAAATCTTTTTTATAGTTTAGATTACTTATATTTATTTACTAGGATTTAATTTTGTTTTTGACTCCTTAAAGTAAATACGACTTGGATTGTGCACTATATTACATTAATTCGATTAATTTTTAAAGTAATCTCAATATGACAAATTAAAAGCTTTATTCCAAGGACAAAGAATTGGAGAACGACGGTGCTTTGAATAATAGATTAAGGAGGAGGAGAAGTAAGAGAAATAGTGGGGGGAGCAATAGAGGTGGGACTAAGGAAATGGTAGGAGAAGAAGAAGAAGAGGCTTGGCCTCCTGCTCCTCCTCCTCTATCAAAATCTAAACCAGCGAGTCAATTTGAGACAAATCATCCTATGCTTCCGCCGCATCTTGCTTTTGAATACTTCTTTCCGCAGGTGGAGAACACGCCAGGAATAAGCTTGAGCACCACAGACGAAGTTAACATCAATAAAGAGGAAATTGAGAGGAAGGAGTTTAACGAGAAGCCCAATATTGTGAGAGGTTGAAATGATGAGGTGCCGGAACCTGTATCTACGCCGGAGAATGTGGCGGAGCCGCCACCGGCGCCGCAGCAGGAGGCTATAATGTTGTCACAGAATTGGAAGAGTTCGAACTTCGAAGAAGGTGAAGCAGGGACAGGTTTCGATTGTGGAGGGGAAAATTGTGAGAGTGAATCTGACACAGACGCCTATGTCTCCACTGTATAGGGTAATTGGAATCAACTTTAGATTGAATCAGAAATCTAATAGTTAAAGATAATATTTCTGTTAGTATGAAATATGATCGTACTGTTTTAATTAGTTTAAAATACTGGGTGCATCAAAAATTATTTTAAGATATTGGATGTACCTGAAAAAATAGTTTGAAGTGTTGGGCGTATTTTAACCCAGAAAATAGTGTACCGCTTTATTGTTTTTCCTATTTGAGTCAACGATAGAAGCCTAGCTAATTCCAAATTGAGAAGGAAAAAAAAGCGCCTAGCTAATTAGTGTCGTATTTTTTTATTATTTTCAAGGCTTTTTTTTCACTCAACTCTCTCTAATTAGATGGAGTGTTGAATTTAGATATATTTTTCATATTTTCAAAAAATCAATTTGCAATTTTTATAAATAATTAAATTATTGAATTTTATTAATTTTTATAAACTAGTTATTTAGATATCATATTAAGAAGTGATAGGTACAGGACCAATAAGTTATTGATTAAGGTTATAAATGATTTTATTCCCCTAATAAAAAAAAATTATAATAAGATCTCAAGCAAAAAAAATAATTAAAAAATAAGTTCTAAAGGTTATCATTCTCTTTTGTAAATCTTGTCATTATAAATTGTTCAGATTATTATTAAAAATTTTTGATAATTATTTTTTTAGTAGGACTTGAATATAATACTCTCTAAAAAAAACGCAAGTTCAACTCCCGTAAAAAATGTGTTTATTGAAGAGGACTTCCAACTTGCAGCACTGACCCATAATGTGAGTGACGTCACCTATATACCTTTGCCTAGGTCATAGTAACCCGGTAATCCTGCGTGGCATTTATTTTAAGCCGCCGGATAAGTTAGAGAGTTAGGTAGGTACTCCTCTGATCATATTTTTCCCTATTTATAAGTATCTCATTAAATTTATTAAATTTTTAATGTGGATATACTATTTTATTTTTTTTAATTATAATGTAGATAGTTATTTTTTAAAAAAAATAAATATATTAAATAGAGATAAAATTAGAAAATTATTACTCTTCTGGTTCTTAATATAAGACTCATTTAACTAATTTAATTAAATTAAAAAATTTAGATAAATTAGTTAATTATGAGAAATGTGACACGTTTTTCTTAAAATATCATAATCATCTTTCTTAATACCCTCTCTTCCTCTTCTACTTGATTATAGCTGAGAGAGTATCTATAGGGGTAATTTAGAGAAAATTAATAAATATGATAGAGTCTTATATTTATAACCAGAAAACCAATTTAACAATTAGGTTCTATATGAAGGATTGTAGGAGTATATTTTACTAGAAAGTTAATACATTTTAAGATCTTTCTTGATCTGTGTAAAATATGCTGAAAATACTTTATAAATAGGATAAAAAAAGTAACAATAATGATCCTCTGTCACCTCTTGAACCGTAAGATGGCGTGCCTCCAGATTGCAAGTTACATCCCACGTGATCTTCAACAAGTCAACGGAGAAGGGTCTGGGCAGCTCTCACATGGCGAGGGCCGAGGGTCAGCCACTATCGTGTAAAACTATAGAAAACCATGGTGTGGGTCCAAACCGTTTCAGATTTACCAAATACCCAGGAAAAAATAGAAACTATGGTTTTGGGTTAAAACCGTAGTTGGAGACTTAAAACTATAATTTCAGAAAAAATAAATCTATTCTGTTTCTGATTTAAATTGAAAAGTATGATTATGCTTATCAGAATAGATCTCAATGATAATATAACTTTAACACCTCTCAATTATTTTTTTAAAACATATTTAATCTTGTATTTTATAAATATATATATACTTATTAATTATTTATTAATTATATTATTTTATATATTATTAATTATGTTGGTAAAAATATATTATTAATAATTTTATTCCTTCAAATTAAAATATATTATAAAATCTATCTTTTATGTAATTATCATATTAACTTATTTTTTTAGTAATTTACACATATAAAAGTGCTTATAATAATAACTATCCAAATACTCTCAATTTATCAGAATTACTTTTTCACAAAATCTATTTTTTCAAGAATCTATTTTTCAGAAATTATTTTTCAAATTATAATTTGATTTTATCTAAATACCTTCTCAGAATTTTTTTAAAACTAAGGTTTTGTCCCCCAAATCTAGATTTGTCAAGAAGCAAGAGTTTTTTACTTTTGGGAGTAAAAATTCGTTGGAGTAATAATTACCCTTGTCAGAAGCTTTCTTCGGTTCGTATTCCGTTTACTTGTAGATTCTTTTTCTTTTTTTTTCTTAAAGAAAAAGGAACCATCGGGAACCAGGGTTTTATCCCTGAAAGCTACAACAGCTATACGGTCCGCATCATGGTTCGGCTTATAGGAACCCATCACTTGGCTCAATTCTTAATTTTTTTCAACCAGAATCCTTATTAATGTATGTTTCAAATTTATTTTCATGTGTTATCAAAGCATAGCTGCTAATCTAAACTGATTCATTTCTTTTGTTTTTGTTTCTACACAGGGCTAGTGAATCTCTCAATCTCAGGCCGGAAATCATTCTGATGGCCTTTAGAACTTGTCATTTTCTTACTTATTTTTAATCATATTATTTATATATTATTTATTATGTTGGCAAAAAAAATTTATTAGTAAAAAATTTATTACTTCAAATAAAAACATATTATAAAATATATCTTTTATATAATTATCATATAAATTTATATCCTTTTTAGTAATTTTTATATATAAAAAGTGTTTCTGACAACGACTATTCAAACACTATCATTTTATCAAGATTACTTTTTCACAAAATCTATTCTAAAAAATAATTTTTTTCCTCAAAAGCTATTCTCTAAACTATGGTAGTTTTATCCAAACACCCCCTAAGAAGATTATAAAACACCACCGGACAAATGAGGTGGCCGGAAGCGAAAATGTTGTGCAATATTGTTTTGCTTTTTTTTTTTTAACCAGAAGTGCAATATTGTTTTGCTAAATGTTCGTGTTAGTTAACCTGATGGTTTTGATATTTTTACACCATTTGACAACCTTTATGTATATATGTTGACATGTTTGATAAGATCAATGTTATTGGATTTAACGGCCTTGACATTTTTGTTCTAATTAGAAACGTTATGTGTGCACTTTATACTCGAGAAAATATAAATTTAAAAGTTGTTATATTACAAGGGAGAGTTAATGTAGTTTAAAGTTTTTTTTATATTTGTATGAAATATATTAAAAATGCCTTGTAAATAAGACTAGAAAAGTAATAACTTACTGTTATATATGAGTATTTTAAAAAATCATGTCATATTTGTTATAATTAACTAATTAACTCATTTAATTTTATTAATCTATCCAAATTAATTAAACAACTCTTCCATTAAAAATTAGATGAAATATTTTTTTTTTGCTGGCAAAAAAAAAAAGATGAAGTATCACTCTCATACTTAATATAAATCAATTGTAACACATTTTTAAATATCAAGTAATGCATTAACTTGACAAAATTTTTAAATTTTATCCTTATTAAAGGTTTTTCCTCTCTATATGTACAAATGATGCTCATATTTCTTCCTTTTTTATCTTTTTCAATGATAATTAAATAAAGATAAAATTTAAAAATAAACATTAAATATACTACAAGTAGCTTATATTTAGTACCAAGGGGGTTTTTTTCAATGATAAAATGCTTCTTAAAAGCACTTTCATGTAAATTAGGATAAAACTCCTCTGACATATCTACTTCATATATTGTAAAATAGCTTCTAAGATTATGATTTGGTTTTTACCCAACTGCCCCTTAAAACTTCCCACGTTACATTTACTACCAGCGTGGTATGTTTTTATAATTTAACTTGATTGCCATAGAAATTAAAGAAATTAGTTAAATTAGTTAATTTTGATTTTTTTTTCCTTAAAATACTATATTCAATCATTTGTATTAGAATTACCCATTGATAAAAACCTTTTTAATATATACAATAAATAGATATAGTTTCTAGAAAAAAATTATAACTTTGAGAGGTCATATGAATTGAGATCCTACATTAGTACTAAAGTAAACCTCCTAACTAGCCATATTATATTTACGGTTGGAGGGAGTATAATTTATGCACAGATGTATATTAACAATTAATTGCATATTATAATTAAACACAAAGAATTAACACATATTCTTGTGAGGATTTGATTTGACCAGGTACTTCTACCTCTACAAGGATCTGACGTTGCATGAAAAAGGATGTCGTCTTGTAATGGTCTTACGACTGTCACGAAGTTGCAGGAAGCTGGAGTGAGCTTCGAGAAAGTGTTCCAGAAATACTTACTTGATATTAACTTTTTGAATGATCCTGTCTTAAGCTGGTTTCTATGCTTGGGATGTATATCAAAATTCACATGCTTCGAAGCCCGTTTACAAATCCCGCAGTTGAAAATAGAAGACACGACGGAATGTGTTCTAAGAAATCTCATTGCCTTCGAGAGGTGTCATTACTCAGATCAACCTTATATCTGCAGCTATGTCTTTTTCATTGATTCTCTCATTCACACCAAAGAAGATGTTGAATTGCTGGTTGAGAAAGAAGTCACTGTTCATGAACTTGGGAGTGATAAGGAAGCAGCGACTTTGGTGAACAGTCTCTGCAAACATGTTGTGACCGACAAGACATGTCATAAAAGCATCATAGATGGTCTGAATGGACATTACCAGAAGGTTTGGAATCATACAATGGCTTCGTTAAGGTTGGTGTGCTTTCGAGATCCTTGGAGAGCAAGTTCAACTGTGGTTGGAATTGCTGTTCTCATATTTGCAGTTTTCAACTTTTATCGAGTGGTTAAATCAATATATTTACATCCCACAGCTCCCCATTGGTTTTGATTTTATATATAGTTGTCATCTGATATATAGTATTGTTGATTCAGTATGTTAATTATTTACTCTTAAGAAATGAATGGTGAAATGTGTCTAAAATGATAGGTTCAGAACTTCTGCCTAAAGAAATTCATGGTGCTTATTACTTTATTCCAGTTCTTGCGATTTTATTGGAGAGGTCTGGGATGATGAATGATGATTGAGGGACCCAAAATGATTCTTCTTTAATATAATTACCTTCTGGATTGGATTAGTATTGATTGAGAGTTTATTAAGGGGGTGTTTGGATGGAATCAAAACCATGATTTTAAAAGTGTTTTTACGGTATATGAAGTAAATATGTGAAGAAATTTATCTCGATTTATGAAAAAATACTTTTCAGAAGCACTTCCAGTGCTACCCCAACACCCCCTTAAGTGTGGCTCAACAACCTATTATGCTTTGGGTGTTGATTCTGATGAGAATTTAAGTTCGGGTTCAGTTAGGTTTTCATGAATAATGACTTTCCCACTAATTAAACTGTAGTTTTATGATTTAGTTATTTTAATTTAAAGTAGTATTGAGATTTAATCGTTTTAGTTTAACGTTACGTGTTAAATTTTACGTTTAGGTAAATTTGGTGTTGAATCCGAATTAGCGAATTTGGAAATTTTAATGAATTGGTGGTTTGTATGAAGATCTGGGTTTTCAATATTGGACTGGAACCCATAGATTTCAACGGGCAGTTGAGTTGAGTTTAATGTGAAAAGATTGCCCGCGTTTAAAAAAGAATTGACAGTTCGCAAAAATTTTGGGTTTTAGAGGTTTTTTTTGGCCAATGGTTTTACAGATTTTTACTACTACTTTTCTCAAGATTATTTTTTTCTCTAAGCTAAAAGGCTTTTTTTTTTTCTAATAGTTTTCATTCTTGCCTTTTCTCTAAGCTAAAAGGCTTCAAATTAGAGTTTCTACCGTATGAATTTGCATGTTCAATGAATTACCTCTAGAATTAACTAAGGTTTAACTTCGTACTTAACAAAGTGATTATTTGATTAATTAAGTTTGTAATTTAGCTAATAATTATTTCATACTAGTCAATGCCAAATCAATTAAGAATGCGTTTGGATAGATGAATTTGGATTTTGTATTTAAAATAGGGTAAATATATATCTATCATTCTGATCTTATTTTTCAACCGCATCCAACACCCTTATTTTTCACATGATGCATTTAGCACTGTGATTTTATTTTTTCTGAGCATCCAGCACCTCAATGTTATTCCTTTAGTAGTATCCACCACTTTAAAGATTAGAATACTGGATGTAATAAGAATAAGATTACAGTTGTCGACGCATCAAAAAAATAATATTAGAGCGTGGGATGTACCATATAAAAGATATATAAATGTACCTGAAAAATAAAATCACAGTGATGGATGCAATTCTACCCGTTAAAATTTCATCTTTAAAGTTCAAATTCCAATACTTCAAAGTTTGGTGGTTTTGTACAAAACATTAGATGATGATGCAAAAGGTTCCAGGTTAGACTGTTAGAGTGAGTATTTGAAATTTTGAAAAATTGTGATGCCAAAATCCACTTGGATCCATGAATTTCTATCTATTAAAGAGAAATGATTTGGCCCAAGTCCAAATCCAAACGTTAAATACCCCTAATTCAAGCAAAACATAAATTAAATCCAACAAGATGTTTAAAGAACGCGATTCCTTTATCAGATTGTGGCCTTTTATCTTAGCCTTATTAAAACGCGCACACTGGATTTTAATGGACTTTTGATATGTTGCTCAATAATTCTCTTTACTGCTCAACCAATCCTTCATCAAATTAAATCGATCTATAGATGTCTTAGATCGACGACAAAGATCTAATTCAATAAACGGCCAATATTTTTGAAAAAGGCGCAAAGAAATAAATGAAAAGTAGTAAGTATATAGAATTACGACATGTTTAAAATACATAGCTTTATCGCTTCAAGAGAGGATAGCAATGGTACCAAAACTACTGACATATACCAAAACTATATGTAGTTTGAGCCTTAGCCTTTTTGGTGTTTTGGTTTTGTTTCACGCTTTATGTTGATGATCTTTGATTTTATTCAATAAAACAAAAATACTTCTGTCCAAGAAACACTACCAAAAAAAGATTTTATGTGTCGATTTTATGCTTTCTGCGTGACTTTTTGTGTCACTGCTAAATATAAGACCTTTGGTGGTGATGTCATCACTGAAGGGTTTACTTTTAGTGGTGACTTTCTAATATCGCAACTGAAAGTGTAATATAATAATATATATATTTTATTTTACAATAGTAATAAACAAATTCAAACTAGCTCAACAGCAAAACGATTGGACATGAAAGAATGTGGTCACGAGTTCAAACCTTGAAGAAGATACATTTAAGGTGAAAATATTTGGGCAGTAACATAGTAGGGAGAAGTGATGTCACATGAGAGTAGTGATGTCACAACTGCATGCAGGCAGTTGATGATGGTGTGGAGGTGGCCAGTGATGACATGGCGCCTGGCAGCAATGAGGTGGCGGCCGGCAGTGATGACGTAGCGTCTGTAAAGCCAACTTTTACTTTTGGTAGCGACAATCTCAAAGTTCTTTTAACAAGAAGGTCATTGACAAACGTATCTTGTAGTAAAGGCCCCTTAATGTCACAACTAGAACTAATGTGGAAAATAAGCTTAAGTTTGTGTTTCTTCTTTTAATAATTCCTTCTATTATGCTTTCTCAAATCCTTGTTTTATACTTTAAACAAATAGAATGATCAATATACAACATAACAATTATATTGAGATGTATTTTTAAGAAACTAAATAATTTAGATAATTCTCTACACGGGTTGCTAATGGAATTGTGAAAAAAAGTCATTAGTACCACATCTTATTTATGAAAATGCCACCGGTCACACCTTGTACGCCGTCCTTGCAACAATCAATATACAAGCCCCAATGCAGAAATGCCTTTTTGTTCTAGTGTGGGGGCAGATATTAGGAGGAAACACTTCCAAAATTAGTAAAAAAATTTTGCTCCTTTGAGAAAGTTTTCCTTCATAGTATTCTTTTTTCTTCCCATCCCAAATCAAGGGTTAAGCTTAATTAAGCAAGAAATTAAGGAGGAGAATAACTTTCAAAAATATCAATTTAGATATTTTTGAAAGTCTTCCTATCCCCTCCTTACTTTAATCTATGCACAAACGAAGGATTAGTTAGTTAACAATTTCCTAGAAATAAAGGAAAACCATGAATGCTTTATTTATAAATTACATAAATAAATGATGGCATAAAGTCTTAGAACACATCCACAAATAATACACGCCAAACACGGAACAAAACACCCGCAAGAAGATGACTCTGCAACCAAACTTCACCCAAGAGGAAGATCCTTTCACGTTATTTTATCACATGACTCATCCATTAATTAGTTTCCTAATTATAATCCAAATTAAAGATACTATATGTTACTACCTCCCGTCTTGATTATAAGATCTCATTTGTAACCTACAAATAAGATCTTATAATTAGGACTGGGGGTAGTATACATTATAACTAATTAAGGTTGCCGGCGTAGAGGACCAATCTAACAATCCGACAGAAGTTGAAGACTGTGAACACGAGGACAGCCGTTGCGACCAAAGTAGAGCTTGCTCTCCAAGCATCTCTAAAGTAAACCAACCTCAATGCAGCCATAGTACGATTCCATTGTCTCTGGTAATGTTTGTTCAAATCATCTATAAGTCCTCCATAACATGTCTTGTCGGTGACAACATGTTTGCAGAGACTATTCACCAACGTTGCAACTTCCTTGTCGCTTCCAAGTTCATGGACGATGACTTCCTTCTCAACCAATAATTCAACATCGTCCTTGGTGTGAATGAGAGAGTCAATGAAGGAGACGTAGTTGCAAATGTAAGGTTGATTTGGGTAATGACACTGCTCGAAGGCGATGAGATTCCTCAGAACACATTCGGTTGAGTCTTCTATTTTTAACTCCGGGATTTGTAAACGAGCTTTGAAGTGAGTGAAATTTGGAATACAACCCAGGCACAGAAACCAGCTTAAGGGTTGAACTTTTTGGAAATTTATGTTAAGTAAGGGCCTGTTGATGACTTTCTCAAAGCTCACTCCTGCTTGCCGCAACTTTGTTGCAGTGCTTAAGGGAGACCCTTTTTTGCAAGCAATAAGACGCTTACAAATGTAGAAAGACCTAGTCAAACCAAATCAACACAAAATGTGTTAGTCAGTGAACACCATAGTATCGTATGTACATTAAACTTGTTATTTGGATTCTGCCATTAAATTTTCATCAATAATAATGCTCCAAATGGCTAATCAAGTGTTACGATTTAATTATGACAACATCACCCAAACTTGTAGGAACGCAGCACTATAAGTAACAAACAGTATATTATAGCCGATCAGTCATTAATTAGTCCTTGAAAACAGCAATAGCATGCTGATAAACAGTAGTAATATTGAAAAATGCGTACCTAATCAGATCAGTGAAATGTTGGGGTTTATTATCCCAGAAAAGACACCGGTTGGAATTTGAGCTTCCAGTTTCTTGTTTAGAACAGTCGCCCTTTTTACAGGCATGAAAACAGTCGAAGTAGTTATGGGCAAGTTCAATAAATGAGGGACGCTTCTTGGAAGGGTTAGTGTCAGGGAAAACAGTCTTGTACAGCTTTTTTAAGATGAACATTGGGATCTGGTTTTCAAGCAGAAGCAGGTCTCTCTGGATAATCTTGTTCAGCCATGATTGTTTCAGTATAATATCATCTGAATATGTTTGATCGATCAGTTCGTCATCTTTCCTGTCCTCTTCTGATTTTTGCCTTTGAATCCTCAGAAACAGCTCCATGATGAATACAGAATCCAATAACATCATATCCACCAACTTTTCGTCGTGGATCTTACCACAGAGCTTTTCTGCGTAACATTGGCGTATGTCTTTTACTTGATCTTTAAGGAACCTCTTGAAATTGTCCATGGCTTCAGGAGTGTTCTTGATACGACCCCTGAAGAAATCAAGGTATCGTAGTTTCTGCTTTTGCATTGGCATTGGATTGAACTCTTTTTTTGGGTCTTCTTTTGGGCCTTCTTTTGGGCATTCTTTTGGGTCTTCTTTTGGGTCTTCTTTTGGGCGATAGTGAAGGGGTCCTATTGAGACCAACTGAGGAGTGTAGGCCTCTGGTTTCCAACTCCGAAGACTACATGGGACCTTATAGATGTTCCACTCCGTTGTTTTCAGATCTTCCGGTTCGTCTATATCGATCATAACATGTTTCACTATCTCGTATTTAGGAGATGATGAAACAGAGACGTTTTCGTGATCATTAGATGCCATTGAATCCCAACCTGCAAGTGAAATGACGATGAGCAGCGACAAAAGTAGTCATATAAATTAAAGCAATTCTTGTATGCCAAAGTGAAATTTAAGTTAGACAAGCCCTTGATTTGCACAAAGCCATTTTTATTTTTATTGAGACATATATATGATACTCTCAAGTTCTAAATGTAAGGACTAAATAATTAATTTGTAAACATTAAGAAAAATAGTTAAGATAATTATTTGTAGATTTTTCAAAAGCACTCTTTAAATAATTTGTATTAGCTCTCTTCATATATGCGATCAATATGTAAAAGCGCAGTCAATATGTAAAAGCTTAGAGGGAAAAATTATTAATTTAGAAGACAAAATAAATTAAAATCTTGTATTTAAAATCAAGATAAACCCTTCTACTAGTTCTCTAATGCTAGTTCTTATATTGAAATTTCCAGCTAAGAAGTATTTGGCTAAAAAGGAAATGTGTTTATGATCCCCTCGACTATCCTAGCTGTAATTAGTTATAATTAGTTTCAAGTCCCAAATAACAAAAAAATAATACCGTGGTTCCCAAATAAAAAATATTTTTTCTTTCGGCAAAACCACATTTTGACACCCAAAAAGTGATTCCAAGCAAGCTTCATTATAGCCGAAAAATATATGTAAAGGAATTAGTAAACATATGATATGGAATATTATGGACAGATATGACATAGCTCTCTTGGATCGTGCGTTCTGAGTCAGCAGTATGTTGGCTGTTATGCGAAGGACATTAAACCTTAATTTACTAATCAATTTGTCTCATCTTGATGATCTTGTTCAGAGCTAAAAGTTTAATATTATTACTGAAAAAGAAATTCTCCGACTTCTTAGAATTATCTCGAGTTATTTAAAATTAACTTATGTGATGATAAGTATAACATGAAATATGGTTAGTGACTAATGTTTTAAAAAGACTAATGGTATAATTAAAACTGCCTTTATTCTGAGGAGGTGATGGATGTTGAGGGGTTTTGTAGAAATCTTAAGTGATTTTTCGTATAATCCTTTTTATTTATAAACTTTCATTCCCCTTAAAAAAATATAATTAAATTTAATTAATCGTTTATACTTCTTTTTAAAAAAATCTAAATTAATCAAATAAGATGGGACTTAACTAGTCCTACCTCCATTTTACGGTTTACTACTCAATCATCACATTCATAGTCTGAACAGGAGACACACTATTATTAAAGAAAAATCATTATGAACTACTATAGTGATTAAAAAAAAAAAACAGGAGACACATTTTATTATCTATCAGCTTCACATATGGCTGGTCCTACTTGTGGGGAGAAAACTTGTCCATTCATTAGACTTCTTCGAACTGTGTCTGTGGACAATTATATTAAAGATGTTGCCCAAATAAATTTACCACAATGCCCTTTTATGTTTCAACTTTATCAAGAGATTAGAAGTGACAATCATTGGCTCCAAGTATCTTGTTACTATTACAATTATGTCTTGTTTGTATCATCTCAGATCTCATACGGATCTACTTTATCTGCATCTTGTGCACCTTTAATAAACTTGAAAATCAGTCCCCGAAAAAAAACTTGAAAAAAAAATATGCAAGTATATATGCAACCTCCTACATGTTTTCGAAGTCTTCTCTCTCTCCTTCCTTGACTACTTTTAATGCTCTCATTTTATTTATGTACTTTTTTACTTGATAAAAGATTATTTATTTCCTTTTAAAATAACTTAGGAATCTAATTAGATAGTTTAAAATTCTCTTCTTCGGTACTGAGGATGTTGGAAAAAATGTGTGACGAACATATAGCCAGGCAAGAAAAGTTACACTGACGTGTGCATGGTGTTTATTAAGTCACTTTGATGTAGTTCAGATATATACAAAGAAATTTATGAGTAGTAATAGGACAACATAAAATGCTTCGGAAAAACATCAAGATAGATAATATTCAACAAAATTAATAAACGGCTTAATATAAGATAATGAAACCGTACCTATGACCCGTGTAGCTAACTTTACATGTTACATAATAAGATAATATTATGTAAAGCTTTTTTTTTGGAGGGGGGGGGGGACAGATAGTATCATTTAAGCAGCTGAACTAACAGAGGAACTGAGAATAGTGGTTTCCACTTTACAGTGCCAGCAGTAATACTTAAAGAGATAGAAATATGGATCATTAATAAGAAGAAGCAGCGGCAGCAGCAGCAGAAGAAGAAGAAAGCAAGAAAATACAGAGCTTGTGTCTATTCAACACCAAACCCAGTAAAACTAAGCTTCCATTTCTTCAAAAACGAAGAAAGAGAGAGAGATTGTGAACCTGGAAGGAGTCTCTTGTTAGAAAATGGCCTGTTGGGTTGGATGAGCAGTCTGAAATCTGAGTTGCGGGGAGTAATTTCCTTAACTCTGTAGAGAGAGAGAGAGGGAGAGAGAGGATCTTTAAGCGTTGTGTGGAGAATTCTGACGACGACATCATTATATAGATCCATCGATGTATTATTAAAGAGAGTTGAATTTGCTCGGGATTAGATGGAGGAAAAGAACAGAAAAGCAGAGAAAACGTGCTTGAAATGAAATGCAATGTTTAATTTCGTTCAGCAAATTATGTTTGACATATTTTTAAAAAAAAGAAAAGAAACCATGTATAATGAAGTTAAATTTTTTTACATTTATATTTAAAGGACGAAATGAAATTTTTGTAATAAGAAAAGAAAAATGAACTTCCTGGTTTAAAAATAATGTTCCATAAATTACTAACTATTAACATTCTTGCGAATCAAAATTCAAGTACAGGTGCAAAAGAAATAAAAATAGATATCAAAATTTCAGTGTGTCATTTGGAGCGTGATGAAGCAATTAACAATAAAATAAAATGTGATTAGATATCAAGGGTATAAATTCTTTTATTGAAATAAAGAAATAACATTTGGAATTTTTAGCTAATTTAACTTAAGATTTTAAACTTGTATGCAAATAATAATGGCATGCGTTTTGATTTTTTTTCCCCCTAATTTCAATAAAAGGTGGGAGCCTAACTTATTCCAAATAATAAAAAAGAGCCTGGCTAATTAGTGTTTGTATTTTTCATATGGGACAAGGTGATTAAATATCCCAGAAGTGTTTATAAAGAAGCACCCAATATTAAAAGAAATTTTTTTTTTTGCCTTTATATGTTTTGGAAGTTTTATTTCGTAGCATTTCTATCCTAAACCCTTATCCGCCGTAAAGTTTGATTGTTAAAAACACCAGTCAAACTGTATAATTGAGCAATCAAACTTAAAAGTGAATAACAGTCAGGATATTTTTGCTATGAAAATAAACTTTCAAAGCATAGAAAATCAAAAAAAAAAATTCAGGTACTAAATGTTCATTCATAAATACTTCCAGAGTATTTATGCACGTTATCTCTTTTCATATTAGTATGAAGGAATTAATATTTTATACTCCATCCAATTCCTAATATGAAAATAAATAAAATGTTAGACTTAGCTTTAAATATCATGTTTTTATCCATTTTGCCTTGCATATTCATCAACATGTTAGAATTGGAACTTGTTTAGAATCACATTAATAAACATTTTTAAGTATTTAAGTTGAGATAAAATTTATCTTACTTATTTATCTCGTATTCTATAGATTGATTGAAATGTTACTTATAAATCATCCCAAAACATTCCAAAACGTTGGTGGTTTATTCTATCCATATTTTATACTCCCTCTGGTACTTATTATTCAAATAACTAATTTAGAGATAACAAATAATAATTTAAAATTATTTAAAAGTAATAAATAGATTAAAAATATAATTTTATTTTCAAATATGCCTTTATAATAAATAAAGAAAAGGATGAAAAAAAGTATATGTGAAAACATAACAAGAGGATATAGCAAAAAAGAGAGAGTAAATAATTTAAAAAAATTAAATATTTAGATAAATCTCAAATCAAAACTTATAAAATAAATCATATTCCCTTTTAAATTTGAAGTTTATAAATAATATGAGGAGTATTAGTAGTTGATGGATTTGAGTGACGTCACCCATATCATTTTCGCATGTGTCATCCTAATTCCGCGTGGCATTCAATCCACTGGATGAGGAAAAAGTTAAGTACGTAACCATAATGATCCTCCGTCACCCCTTGAGCCGTACGATATGGGGCATCAACCAATATATTAATTGAATTAAAAATATTGTGGGCAAAAAAATTGAATTAAAAATATATCCTCATCTTATCTTATTTATAAAATAAAAACAAAAATTTTTTATCCTATTTATAAGTTATTTTATTAAATTTTTAATGTAAATTTATTATTTTGTTTTTGATTTCTTATAATATAAATAGTTATTTTTTTTGAAGAATATATATATTAAATAGGAGTAAATTTAAAAAGTTATTGTATTTTAATGAAAAGTTAATCTATTTTAAGGTTTTTTTAATCTATATGACATATGTTAAAAATACCTTATAAATAAAACTAGATAAATATTTTTTTATACAATAATTTTAATACTATCTCTGGTCTTATTTATAAGATCTCGTAATTATAAACGAGATCTTATAAATAATACCAGTCATGGTGTAGTACTATCAAAACATAAATGAGTGCTGATCCGAATGATTTGTCATATTCAAGTGGTTGTAATTAAAATCAATTTAGGTTCATGTCAGTTATCATAAAAGTTTTTGCTATTATTAGGTAGGTATGGGGCATAATTTTGATTTCAGGCATAAATTTACGTGCAAAGTATCATTCTACATTACCAAACATCATACTGGTGTTTCGAGTAAAAAAGGCACATAAAAATTATTAATTGAAAAAAAAAAAATGTCGCAACCATTAATTAATATTAACCATTAGCAGATGTGTCCATAAAAAAAAAAAACGCAAAATACACACAAGATTTTCAAATGATGTGAAAATGTCATGGTTTTTGAGTCACCCACGGATTAACAAATAGTCTCCTCCCTCAGCTGCTTCACCCACCATTATTTTCTCTTATTTTACTGATTTGTTTTTCCAACCAAATCTATCTTATTTTCCCACTCACTCACACCTCTCTTTTTTTTTGGTCAACACTTACCCCTCTTTTTAAATAAGAATATATTTGATGAATAATGCTACATTTGATACTTAATATAAAAACTAATTAAGAGTTAAATTTGGTCATAAATACACGTTTTACCTCTTATATTTATATTTTTTAAACTAATTTCTTTTAACTTATAAATTAATATATAATTTAACATTGTATATATGAGTATTTTAAGGAGATCATATCACATTTTGTTATAATTCACTAATTTTTTTAATTTTTTTAATCTATCGATCCAAATTAATCAAATAGGAGTAGAGGAAATATGTTTTCTTTTTACCAAAGACAAAATGCTTTAAAAATAAAGATCCGAAGGGAAGTATGTTTTTGTAATTTAAGTTGATTATTGACCGACGAGGTGAATGGCCACATCGCTATAATTTTCGCATTGGGTCAATAAAGTTTATAGGTACGTAGCATTCATATCCTCACCAACCATTTCATTATCTCTTTAAATGTAAATCAACAACTAATTAGCGAAGCATTGAATTTTTTTTAATTAAGAGGATTTGAATTCTTCATTTATATCTACATCTTACCCTATTCTTATCAATTGAATTAGCATGAAGTGATACGGCCAAAACAAAACGGGGGGAAAAAAAAAAGAACTAGCTTGAAGTGATTAGCATGCAAAACACTACCTAATTTATAATATACTGATGTACTCGTAACTTGTTATAATTTAATTAAGATATTTTTCAGCTATATAAACTATTTAAAAACAAAAACTTCATAATATGTACCATCAATAAAAAAAGTTTGAAGAAAAATTATTAATTTTGGATGAGATTTCATATTTAAAATTAAAAAAAAAAAAACTTACTAGCTACTTCTTACATTTAAGATTAGGGGAAGTAGTTTTTATATATCTTTGTGCTTCTCTTCTCTCCCTTTGTCCTTAAGGTGTCGGAATTTTTTTTTTTTTGTAACCACACTTAAGGTTTTATTATATGTTTGGATGACTTTGTTCTTTACCCAATTCAATAGGTTTTGGTCAGAATTCATCCGAATTGTTGCCCCAAAAAACACACCACATTGTTGCCCTGCATGATTTGTGGGCCTATGGTTTCATTAATACATCTTTTATATCTTGAGTTAAGCAACATACATACTAACTCCACTCATTTTATTGTAGAAATCAACTACCAGTATAATATCATATATTGAGGCCAGAAAAAATATAATATCATGCGGAAGTTTGTCAATAACATAACAAGTTCACCATTTATGATATCCCATGCAAAGCACTGGTTCATCGCTAGTTTTTATTAACTTGTTTCATACATTGATAATGCAAAAGAATGGGCTCCAAATCACTTCTTGGAATTCCTCTGGCAGAAGACTCTAATCCTCTCAAGGCCTTGTTCAAGTGCTGAAGGTTCAATTGCAAAAGTTATTCGTAACCAGTTCTTTAATCCCATAGCCACGACTGCAAATTCATGAGCTTTGTCATATGTGATCACAGAAACATGTAATTCCAGGACTACGAGGAGAAACATACTGGAACTCACGGAGTTGAATGATGTTATGATATCATAGAATAGAAAATTAAGATGTAAAATTCATGCCTGGTAAAACGACGACAGATTCCTCTTTGGCCAGCTTTACACAGAACTCCATATCATCATCGATTCCTTCCAAAAATAATAAAGATTTTAAGGTAATTCTATGGTAAATCTATTCTTATAGTATTCAACACTTTTGTGAGATGACATCTCATTCTCTTCTAGTTTAATCTTCATTCTTTCTGCAAAGGCAGATTCTCCGCAAGTCCAGAAGAAAGGTGAAAGAACCAACACATGATGAATTAATTAATATCACTTTTATGTAAAAATATCAGATTTCTCTCTTTATTTTGAAAGTAACTTTTCTTCAATTCACACTTTCTGAGCAAATCGGAAGACAAGTTGAGGTTGTCAACAATTTTATACATCATAAGGTGAGAAAAAAAACTGTTGAACATGTTTTTTGTAAGCGTAGTATCCTCCTACTCGACATTCTGTTAGGTATTAAATGTAAGTAATAGGAATTCAAACATACTATTCGAAGCACTATCAGATACTAAATATGAGTAATAAAAATCGAATATTAGTTCATCACTTTGTAAGAGACTAGTCTCTTCCAAGAAACCTAATCTATTGATTGTTGTATAATTTTTAACATCCAAAAAAGTTTTTTTAGGTTTAAAAACTATTTGCTTTATTTTTATTTTATGTCAGTTCATTGAGAACAATTTTCTAGAAATAAAGTAGCACCATGAATGCTTTATTTATAAATTACACACATAAATGATGGCTCAAGGCTTATAACACATCCACAAATAATACACGCATTACCAAGTTCACCAAGCACTGAACAAAACACCAGCAAGAAGATGACTCTGCAACCAAACTT